GCCTACAATAGAAATCAAGTATGATTTGGGTACTTTACACATACTATTATACTTTGAAAATAAACTAGCCTACAACACATGTACCCTAATGATTAGTAGGAAGCACTATAGAAATCGCATACTGTAGTAGTAAAAACAAGGTAGCTGGCTTTTCTTGTTTGCTGCAAAACACACAGTAAGCAAGCCAAAAGCAGCAATCATGTCTCATCTCCTGGGAATGGACGAGTTTGTGGAGTGTGGTGGTTGTGCAAAGGCTTCACAACTAAGTATTTATGAGAAATACAGGTAACACTGAGGTGAAATCCTGTGACTACAGTGATGTTACACACGATTCCACAGTAACTGAATAATGACTAAAAAAACTCAGTAAAAATTAGATAGTGATAAGTAGCTGAATTGTCTTCGGTAAAACAAACATGCAAACAAACATTTGATGAATTTTGCATTTGACATTCAATTTCCATATACAATAATTGAATGAAAAATCTCTTCACGCTTTACATTTGGGTACCACTGTCCAGTGTAAAGATTAGGAAACTTAAATTCCAAATTCATACTAGCGGGCATGCCTGTTGTTGCCGATTGCAGGATGAAAGCGGTGGACTTTTCAACAGTAATTGGCTTTTAAGTGGACGGTGGAATGCACAGCATAATGCAGAGAATATTAATGAGGGCTAATATTTGAGGTGGTTCTGAGCACTGCACTCTCATTTTGGGGGCCTTTGAATTTGACTTTTGATTCTCAGCTAATGTTCTGGAAAATTCCAGACCAAAAACACATCTGGCTTTTAAATTAGTAGCCTGTCTGTTTCTAACTGATTGACGCAATGTCACATGAATCAATGAATGTTAATTCAACATTAAAAAACAACCTTTTTTTGTTTTTGTTAAATAACCATTAATGATGATGCAATACAATTGTTTGGGTCCTCATGCAGCCTAGACAAGAGTGACAAGGTTCTGCTTGTTAAATTACAATTTACACTAAGGTTTCAAACATGTGCCTACCTGATACAGGACTAAATATAATGGTAGAGCTTAATCATAATCTTGGAAACATGGAAATGGAAATGTCTGACATTTATTTAAAATTCTGTAATATATCAGGCTATGGAAAAATTCTTTATAGGATACTGCACACTGAAATGTTTAGTCTAGTTAATGTTTAGCTAATGCATACAATAACTGACCCCAGGTTCCCTTATAAATGAAGGTCAGAGAAAGTATCTGCTGTCAATAAAGATGTGTCGCAAAAGCTTTGGCAAAATATTCTAAACAAAAGTTGTACCTGATTTGACAAGTCATCTTAATCAAGTGATAACAGTACAGCAGTATTGTTGCCACTCTCACCATGTGTATCTTAATGATGCTGGATATTAAGTAATGTGCTATAATTGCTATAGTTCAGCAAAATTTCCTATGACAAGCAAACCGCCCTGATATGATGTAGAGCTAAAAGGAGCAATTACAGTGAGTCATTCTTTGTGATGCCCAAGTTATGCAGATTTGGCAAGCACCTCACAGGACAGATTATCCTGTTAGGAACTGAACCCGGCACTAAAGCAGTCGACATTTAAAAGCACATACATCACAAAGTTAAGGGAGAGACAGCAGAGATGCAACGCTGCACTGAATAGAGCAGTGCCATGAAGGAGCAAGAACACAACCTGAAGTACAGATTAGACTTTAAGTGTGATCCTATAAAACTATCCCAGCATCTAAGCACTTTGTTTTTCTATATGCAACATTCAGCAGCTAGCACAAGCACATTTGCAACAGTAACTAACTTATAATTACTAACAAATAAGTCAATGACTGGAAATGTTTGATTATATAAATAAATAGAAATACAAAATAACTATTTTGTCCACTGTGGTAGTTAGTTCGTAGGTCAACAAATAATGTTCCTGACCCTTTTTCATCTGTGTCGTAATCACAGACCTTTCTATGAAGACAAACTAAATGCAGTTTTGTCCTTGTTTTGAACTGCTCATTCACTCAAAATTGGTATATTTGTATACAAGACTGACACAACTTGTGCATTTGGCAACTACAGAATAATCACTGCAGGTATGAAGTTAAGCTTTGTTCTATTAATCTACAAATCCTTCAGAAATAATACAACAAACACGCCTCACAGCCTTAAGCAATATGTTGATATGAAAGGCTGTGATAAACAAAACAGCCAACATTTTTTCTATTATGTGACTGTCAGGCAGACGTAACGAGGTAGCAGATGTGCACACACACTCACCTTTTTTCCCATCTTCTCTTCACAGATGAAACAGCCAAACAGTAGAAATCTGCCAGACAACAGAGAAAAAGATGGCCTTCACAATACAGTCAACCAATTGCTGCTATTCAATATGTGTGGCAGTTGCTGCAAATGACCTTGCATAAATGCTCAATATTGGCTGTACGCTTATGGAGAAGAAAATTGAGAGGGGAACAAAAAGCCCAAGACCATGAACACACAAATGGCTGTGTTCTATGAGGAGATTTGGACCCAAATACTGACTCAGGTTTGTCACTGATCAACACAAATCTACCAATTTCTTTAGTAAATCCAGGAGCATATGAGAGGGTTTTTGAAGTGTTACAGCAAAAGTTGTGTTGATGTGTTTCTTTTCTGTTGTGCACTGGAAAATGTTATATTGCCTAGACAAGAAAGTGCTTGTATTTCTGTTTCATTTGTAATACGTTACAGACAGAAATGCATCACCTTACACCTTGTTTCATAAAAGTGAAAATAATCACCTTTTAAAACAAATATCTGCAGCTTTTCAATACAAGGTCCAGTGCCACTTAAACCCAAAAATGTTTTCATGATGAAGCTGTAATTGTAAAGCTGCCACTGCTTAGAGCTCTCCGGTGTTTGCCTTAACACTGCTGGCAAACTGCTTCACTCTCTACAACCTAGACAGCCTACTTGATAGAGAGTGTTGCTGCAGTAACTTTCTCACATTCACTCCAAAAATTGAGTGGTACCTCAGTAGCATGTTCAGAGCAAATACACCTGTGCCAAGCTTTGCTATGACAGACATGGATGAGTGAACTGAATGAACGAACAAATGATAAAGTGCTTTACCATTGGGAGGGACAGTGTGTGTGTGTGTGTGTGTGTGTGTGTGTGTGTGTGTGTGTGTGTGTGTGTGTGTGTGTGTGTGTGCGTGTGTGTGTGTGTGCGCGTGTGTGTGTGTGTGTGTGTGTGTGTGCGTGTGCGTGTGAGAGAGTGAGTGAGAGAGAGAGAGAGAGAGTGAGAGGTATAATTTGTGTTCCTTCCAGCGCTTTGGATCTCGTCAATCAAAATGGTAAAACAAGCTAGGACCTACACACAACACACATACACCAGACAAAATGGATACATCAGCTGCACAATTGTTGACTTAAATTTTCACTGTTAGTATCAGGAAATATCTCATTGATATACGTAAGAGATAATGTCCAACTGAAATCAGAAAAATGCAATAACATAGCAGGATATAGGAAATCAACTTTAAAGGGTAAGATGTAAGATAAAACAGTATCTGCTGTCAAAGGCAGTAGATGCTTGCATGTTTTATAATCAAAGTTGCTCCTAGTTGCTCTTTTAATATGCTATTATACTAAGAGACTACAACATTAACACTCTGAGGGCCAATTTAGATGTTAAACTTTTCAACCCAAATAAAACAAAGAGACTATCTAAAAAAAAAAAAAAAAAAGAAGCTAATCCAGGGCTGAAGAAGAACCATTTTATCCCAATTATCAGCACCAACAATCTTAAATTTGACAGGATGTTGTAGAAGTAAAAGTTTCCAAGGTCAAACACAAGATGTAAGCACACCGCTACTAAACAAATAGCCCCATTACCACAGTCAGAAACCATAGTAACACCAACTGTAACTGAAATACATTCTGTGGACCACATTAAGAGGGCAGATGAAGCCGCTAGGAGGCCTCAGAGTAAAACCTACTTTGTGCTCATCTCTACAACCAGCTACCACCTCTCGGATAAAAAAGCTGTTGTAAATTGTAAATATAGTCTGTGAATTTTTCATGTGCTGAGGATATGTTGAGAATATGCCCAAATCATAGTTTGCCAAGGGAACAGTCATTAGCACAATGCTGAAACACTACTTGTCCTTGTCCAATTAATGCCAAATAGAGTGAGTTTAGTTTGTACACCAAGTCAATACATTTTAAATTAAAATGACAGGGACTTAAGACAGTGCCGTTCTATATTCAAGATTCAAGACTTGACAGTAATAGTGCAAATTTCCAAACATATCTGCATTTTGTCATACTGTCATACACCTAATCAGACTAAATGTACCTGTGGCTTTTGGGGCTGGGGTTCTGGAGCGAGTGCCTGCTTTAATCCTGCCGCAAACACATAATACCATACATTTTTAATAAGCATAGCCTTGGTGTACATAAATCTATCTGAAAATAGTACAGACCCATGTCTTACCTAAATACTGGCTGTGACTACAAATGTAGCCCACAGGTGTTTTCTGGTAAATGATATTTAAATATATCCCTTAAATTTAAGTCTATAAGATATTTTGTGACCTACAGGCTACATAGAAGATTACAGTGGATTATAGTGAAATCTACAGTAGGTATGCAACTCCACTTTTTAAGCCTTTAAAATTGGTACAAGTGTGCCACCCAGTGGGCACCATTGTTATTTGTAATGGCACACTTTCTTGAAGTGACTTCATTTTATCTCATTACTGTCGTACAAGATTGCAATTAATAAAATAAAAAAATAAAAAAAACACTACCCACCTGAAACTAAAAGGGCTGAGAGGAGTTTTATTATTTTCCGTATTCATGACATATGTGGAGCTCCGGTCGGTCCGCTCCAAACACACACAGGTGAACCTAATAACTCACTAATTAACGCTGCTACATGAACAGCTGTTCATGAGCCAGAAAAGTGGAATAATCATTCCTAAGCTACTTGTTACAGCAGCTTCACGCACTAAATATCATTACTTTACACCGTTTCCAAAATGTCTAACGATGTAACCAAAAAGAAGGGGAAAAGTTCGAGTGAGAAGAAGGCGAAAAGAAAAGCCAAACGAAGAGAGACTTACGCCATGTACATCTATAAGGTTTTGAAACAGGTGGGTGGAGAGAAAAAAAACCCTTCTACTGCTTCAGTATTCCTAACCTGACATAAGATAACAACCCCTTTCCACATCTTCAAAGGTTCATCCAGACACGGGGATTTCTAGCAGAGCCATGAGCATCATGAACTCCTTCGTGAATGACCTGTTTGAGAGGATTGCCACGGAGGCGTCCCGGCTGGCTCAGTACAATAAACGCTCCACCATCACTAGCAGGGAGGTGCAAACCGCAGTGAGGCTGCTGCTGCCCGGGGAGCTGGCGAAACACGCCGTGTCTGAAGGCACCAAGGCTGTCACCAAGTACACCAGCTCCAAGTGAAGACTTCCCACAAACTCCCAGTTTATAACAAAAGGGGTTTCAAACCTTTGCATCAGTTAATTTGTAAGCTGGTTGATTTCAATAAACGCACAAAAGCTGACTTTCCCCCTCATTTTTAAATCCCCTTTCATCTTTTCATTTAGAGAGGGCAGTAAAACGCCAGTATTAGCCACTAGATGGGGTAATTGCACATCTGTTATATTACATGCAGAAACCTATGGCAGAAACATTGATGTGAACGAAAGTCATTGTGCAAACTGCACAAGATAATAGTTACCCTGTATGAATATCATCTGCAAACAGATAACACTAGAACTGGTACTTGGTCAAATCAACTGTACAATGCTAAAATAATCCACATGCAAAGGGTCAGGTATGGCTCTTCATACTTTCATTTATTTACGCTCTGCTAAAATAAAAATAATATATAGCTGTAAGATGATGCTCTCTGACAGCCTGAATACTTTTTACAGCATTTTTGGAAAACCTATAAAAAGAAACTAATAGATGTTTCTTATAAAGTATCAAAGTCAGTCAATTCCCTCTCTCATCTATCTTCAAATTCTAACAAAGATTTACTTATTGTTTTAACTCAGTGGGTTTTAACATGTTACAACAGACCCCGCACTGTTAGAAAATGATCACAATAGTTGTAACTCAACAGTCACTACATACAGTTTTTTATCGCCTGGTGGCTATTGATCACAAGTTAAAGCCATCCAAAATATACCAGAAATGAAAATATTACACATGTCAGCAGCACATCTTTGTGTGGCATTCAAGTTGAATGTGAGGGGGCTCACTAACACCACTTCTGGCTGTAGAAAAATACTCTGTTTTGAATCTTCATCCCTATCTCACATATGTACATCACCAATGCAAAAGCCAAGGCTCCTACACAAATTTCTTCATGAGACACAAATGAATGGGGTTGCAATGAGAGCACACACCCCCCTGACAGGAATGGATCTAAGCAGGTGAGTGTGATGTTGTCAGGGTAAAGGTTGATAAAAACAAAAAAAAAAAACTGAGCTTGATCAAAGCTATAGCGTGTTATCTATCTTTAGCGTGTAGGCTACTCATCTGCAATGATTCACAAATCCAGTGGCGGAAAGGGTACTCAAATCATTTACCTAAGTAAAAGTACAAGTGCACAGCTTTCTAAAAAAATACTCAATCACAGGTAAAAATCCTAGTACAAAAATATCATCAGAAAAGTGCACTTACAGAAGTATCAAATGCTGATTCCTGAGTAAAATGTTGCTGTGATTGGCATATTATTACATATGATAGTATTAGATTGTTTGATTCTAATGGATCAATGTATATGCAAAATTTTACTGCTGTAGCTGCTGGAAGTAGAACTAGTTTTGAATACTTTATATAGAGTTGGGTATTTTGTTTCAAGGATTTCCAACCTAAGGAGGTCAGGCCCCTCCAGGGTCACAAGAAGAAAATACACATTTACTTTATTTTTCAGACTTTCTCTAAGCTTTGTTGTTTTTGTGAAACACTAGATAATTTTACCTCTTGGGTTATTGAACACTTATTTAGATTAAACCAGATGTGAGATGTTCAGAGGAAAAATCATTTTTGACATGTGGCTAACGCACAAGGCAAGAGGGTTAGCAACGCTGGTTTAATCTTTGAAATGTCTAATATGTAATGTAACTCTGTAAAGTACTAGAAACTATAGCTGTCAGATAAATTGAGTAAATAGTGCAAAATATCTATCTGAAATGTAGTGGAGATGAAGTACAAAATAGCAAAAAAAAATTAAAATACTCAAGTAAAGTACAAATACATCCAATTTCTATTTAAGTGCAGTACTGGCGTAAATGTACTTAGTAACTTCGCTCCTGTGCCGCTAAATGTGATGGTGGGAGGTTTTAAGCCACGACCATAACTACAAGTAAAGATTGCCAAAATGTTTTGTCTCACTAGCAAGCTATCTAGTTTAATTGTAAGCTAACACGACTCGCTATACCGAGCTCGTTTGACGGAAAAAAAAAAATAGCATCGCAGAATCGGTGTTAGCAACATCTTCATCATAGTTGCCCCATAATGACATTCGCAGGTTGAACCCGTTACACCACGCCATACTTACAAACAAAAACGCCTCATTTGACGACACTCACCGATGTTTTGAAAATATTTCCAAACTTCCCCACATCTCTATCCACCTGCATCAATGCAAATCTCCAGCCTGCAACAAGGGACAGAAATTTTTATTTGACTCTGAAGTTACAAACAAAAACAAAGATGGCTACCGGAAATGACATATCTTGCTCGTTCGCTTAATGTTCCCTTGATAATTTGGGAAAAATTGTAATTTAAAAGGAAAATAACCATTGCATAGATTAATTAACTGATGATAAAAGTTCAATTTCTGTGATTTGTTCCACAAGATGAGAAAAAACAGCTACAATGGATTAAAAAAGACATCCACACAAATGTTTTGCCCAGTTGGATAGACAAGTTAGGGGGATTTAGACATGTCTTCAAGACAGGGCTAATGGTTCTATATATATAGTTTATCAAAGTTTGGTTTATATATCTGTGAAATATAACGTGAATACCTCTGACTCAACTTTAATCATCATTTATATCACATGTAAAGACAATGATTATGTGAGAGGTACAATCTGTTTAATAGCCTATACTTAATTATATTTCAAAATACCTCAGTGAACTGTTTTATAAAGTATTCTTTTTCACTTCTGATGCATTAATTTCAACCTGACACAATCCATTATTCAGTTAGCTTTAAAAATTGACATATTTATAAACTGACTGAAATAATGCAGTATTGTGTCCTTGTTATGTATTCTAATCAGGCTTTTAAAAGACGGCACTGTCAACTGAATAGTACTTGATTACAGGATAATGACACTAGCGTTTGCACCAGTCTAATCTGCATAAAATGGAGGAACTGATAAAGGTCTCTCTAATTAGGGTGGTGTTTACATCAGGCTTTACATACACCTATTAGGCTACCCTTATCAACATCCTACAAAGACAGGCTCACTCTGATAATGCCCTTGGATGCGACTCCCAGCGCTGACTGTTATTGTTGAGATACCCATTTTTGATGTTTTTCCAGTATTCATGGTAATGATATGAAATCTACAGATGTTATTATGAGGGTGATACAGTCTTTGATGGCAGTGACTTTGTTCATGATTATCATGGTCATTTAGGTTTTGTATCTTGCACCCTTCTCCATATCCCCTCTCATGCTAGTGCCTACTGGTAGTCATCGCTGTCTCCTTTAGGCAGGCTGCTATGAACATATTATGGATGGGTGCATTAGTGAGTGATGCAGAACCCAGGCTGGCTTGCCTTGTTTTCGTGTGAGAGTGCATCATTAGAAAATGTTCCACTTGGCAGGGAAGCGCGTATTAACTGCAACCGCAATGAAATGAGGTTGTGATAGATGGTTAAAGTTATACAGGACTATTAGGTTGAAATATGAACCTCTCAATTGTCATGATGAAACAAAGGGCTATTTGCGTGTTGATCAGTGCATTGAGAGACAATTGGAATCTGCAAAGACCGATACAATACATTATAGGTAGTGGGCTCAGAGCTGAAAGAGTACAGAAAAAGTAATCATGCTTCCATAGAATAGTTTGGAGCTACTGTTCAATTCAGGGCTCTATAAATTCATTTAGGTTCTCCACCAAGCATCAGGCATTGTGATGAGACCTGAGGAAGATTTGCAAACAGGGCACCTTTCGGAACCCTTAGCCATATATATGGAAATAAACCAGTGTTGATCGGCTGTCGAAGGCACTTTAATGGCATCAAAGACTTAAAGCAGTCTGTGTGTGTCTACCTTAATGTGCCTGCATGAACCACACAGTCAATATGATATTAGGAAAATGTGAATAAGCCTAGACAATCAGAACCAGCAGACAAATTCGTAATGCATCAACTATCTTCTCTTTAGAAAATAAAGCCAATTAAGCATGCTCATTATCTCTTATTATGTTTCCATGGTGACCTCCCAGTTATTCTACTTCTAGAATAGAAACTTTAGACCCTATTTCTTGTTAACTCCCTGGGTGTGTGCTAAAATGTGTAAATTGCATAATAATTGCTCTCTTTCCAGTAAAGAATTTCCCATATGCCAGACATAATCTCGCTTCCTCTGATTGGAATAACATTAAACAACACATAAATCATTAAAATAAGAAACACCTGATGGCTAATTGAGTGCTCTGATGTCATGGTGATGCTCTCTCTAAACTTAGACTTTCTTTGGGTGCTCTGACTCTGTCTTAAACTAACAGCAGATCCAATTGCAAACCCATTAGCATTTAATATTTCTGTAATTACTGTGTACATTTCATTATGTTCTCAGTATATTAAATGTCTGCTCAGTGTGGAGGGAGGGCTATAGTTTAATCTCTTTCTGTATTACTGTGTGCCACAGTACTCAAAACAGCATTAAGAGGCACATAATCAGAGGGAACTAATTGCCTATGATTGCATAAATGAAATGCTTCACTCTCATCAGGGCTGTTGCTGATGTCCAGCCTCTCACCGCCTTTGGAGAGGAAGGTGGTTGACCACAATGCAGAAAACCTTGGAGAGACAGCTACTGGTGGGTAATGTGAGGAAACCAAAGATTTAATATGTCCACGGGGAGCTGTGAGGGCAGGGGGTGTTACTACTGCTGATGTTTTTTGTTGTCATCAGAGTTGCCTCCGCTTCACAGAGGCAAAAAAAAAAGAGAGCAAAAAGAAACATGAATGCCCACCATTTGAGAAATGAATTTATCGAAGTCGCTGTCTTTTTCCCCATTAGTAAGTGTTTAGTTCAGCGTTTTAAATAATTGCGTTACCAGGAATGATATTTAAAATACATTTGGGAGTCAATGAGGCGGGAAAGTGCCTACATGTTTTGCTGATGACACCCGGGCCATTTGGAAGACATCAAAGTAGAGAGGAGGTAGCCCAGATGCATATTATAAACTCATTATGTATATCATTTAAAAGGATGTACTCCAGCCGCAAAAACAATATTCCTAGTCTCTCTCTGGTAATGTGTGTTTTCAAAGTTGAAACTCTTACTTGCCTTCAGTTTAATGTGGCATCTATTACCAAACTGTAACATAAAATAAATGACCTTGATTTCCATACCAGAACAGTCGTTAAGGTATAGATGAGATGCAGCTATGCCTCTGTGTTTTCAAATGGGAAAGAAGGTAAAACCTCCGCACAAATATCATGTATTTCTCCACCTGTGGTGCAGACCTTGTTTTCCGCAGAGCTTGCATGTATCTTGATGGACCCCAACACGGAGGAAGATAAACAGACCTTAAAATATGTGTGTTTTATGAATTTGTGTATTCAATACAAGTTAATCAGTCTTCCAAAAACTCAAAGGTAATTCTGAGTTATCCTTTCCAGCCTTGAAAACCTGCCCAGGGTGTCTGTAGATGTGAAAGATGGTATCTGTTTTTCTACTGGGTAGAATTTTTACCAGCACTGGAAAATGGTGGTCCATCAGTCAAAAGATAGGTTTGTCAGATGCCTAGGAAGTAGGCTTAAGAGGCTTAATTATGCGCCGTCCCTCTACCATCAGAACACTACACGTGGGGCAGAGTGACACAGCGGTTGCCAGTCATTCAGCCTAATGTTCTAATGCAGGGAGCCGTGTGGATACATAAAATCCATTAAGGCTCTTGAAAAAAAAAGACTGAGCAGAAAAAAGACATTTTTGCGAACACATACTCACAGGGGCTTACAAATAGGGCATTCTTATTTGCTCTTCCTCAAAGAAAAATGTCAAGACAAAATTTGACCTTAAAAGTTGCCTAAATGTTCGTTACTTTTTAAAACAGTTTTTTATTATAATGGTGAAAATCTTGTTGGGAAGTGTAGAAGTTTGTAATCTAATTACTTGACCCTTTATTCTTGCTCAGCAGATTGAGAGTGGGAGGAGATGGACACACTCTAAATATATCAGGAATAAGAACTACTTTTAAAATCTGCAAATGTAATGTTACCTATACTTTTTAAGTAAGCAAATCCCACATATCTTGCTCAACAAGGGTTTGTCTAATAAGATAAGAAGAAAACAGCATGTACTGTAGTTACAAAACATGAGTTTATTCAACTCATTTGATACTTGCAGCCCGATAGACACTCTGCATGGCTGTAAATTTGCTGGAGGCAAATAGGAGAGGCTCGAGTGGCTGCATGTGAGACATAAAAATAGCATTACTTGTCACACTGCAGGGAGGGCCTCATACCAAATATCAAAACAACTCTGTGAACCAACCCTGTGAACAGCCGGCAGGCACATAGTGGACATTAGCCAGAGAGAGTGAAACAACAACAGAAACAGAGAGACAGGCCTTTTTAGACAGTCTCCCTCACTTTGTCATACACAACCGCTTTTCTCTGTGTGAGGCAAGCCATTCAGCATGTCACGAGGCAGCTTTGTCTTCACACCCATGGCCTTGCGTTCTCTTGAACTTGATGAGGACATGCTAGAGAGATACAAGTACAAGAGGCAGATGGCCTCCCATCACCTCAGTAGCTATATGCTGAAGAAGGAGGCCAGGGACAGGGAACCGCTGAGGTCCAGCACTGCCCTTCCACCAGCTGTGTGCCAAGATGTGGTCATCCAGAATGCTCTGTATACAGGAAACTTGGAGGCTATGCAGCACCTTTTTCCTAGAGGATCCACAGTAAACCTCATCATTGAGCCACAGGGAGGGGACATGCGCTGGGTCGCCAGAGGGGAAGGTAGGAGACAACATCTATCTTCATTAAAAATTAATTTAGGAATTCATTCATTGGCACATCATAGCTAGTAGCTTTATTGTATTTCCTGGAGATTGGCATCCACAATTCAGAATTTTACAAGTCCTTATTATAACATAAATGAAGGAGAAATAGAAAAGTAAAATACTGATTTAAAACGAGAATAATTTTAATGCGCAACAATAAGCAACATAACTGGTGCATCTCACCCTCAGGTAGTATTTAATGACACAGTGAAGCAGTATTTATAGAAACAGAACACGAGGCAATATTTATAGAAACCATCATATGTCCATCACGTAATCAGACTTAGGAGTCATCTGATACAGGATATTAATCTAAGCCCTTTTACTAAACACAAAAAGAGCAATTTTCTTTTTTTTTTTAAGAAAGAGCAACATGTTGAGTCAGTTTCCACATGAAATGGCTTGATGATTTACTGGAAATCAATATTCAAGAGTACAAGTCTGGATGAACACGTAACATAAAATGGGCCTTTACAATACTGGATTTTACTGATACTTTCATATTTCAGTAAAATCTGTCATTTCCGAATTCCTTGAATGCAACAATCAGGTCAGTTGTCCATTGACTTCAGTAGATTAGCTGAATCAGTGGTCAGGTGATATGCACTGCACCAGTCTTTGGCTCCCGTGCCACCGCACTTGCGAGGTTCATCAGGTCAAACAAAATATCATGTAACACCTCCCTGAAATAGCCTTGTCTGCACAAACAACCTACATAAGTGCCTATTTGTTTCGGAGCAACCACATTACAAATATATTTTTAAAAAACAAACTAGTTGGCTCCAGTATGGCTTATGTGGGACCTAAGATAAAATGGCACAAACCAAAGACCTACCGAAACGATGTGATCGCCACAGCCAAGGCCACAGGTTGTGTCCTACAGTTCTGGAACTCTCTGCTTGTTGGCGATGAGCTGACGGTTCTCAGCATTGTGGACGACGACGAGTATGGCTACCTTATTGATGCCACTTATGACACCAGCAACATAGAGGAATGGAGGAACTTCAGATTTAACTACAGAGGCCTGAGTAGGTTTTCCAGTGCTTTCATTTTAAAGCTGTGATCACTGTTTCCTTCAAGGTAATTTGCATCGGGGAGAGGTGTTGACATTCTGATGAGGTATTATCAGAAATACTTATGGAAATGTTATGACTCTGCACTATATACTCTAATTAACAGAAACAGAACTCTTGCAGCTGATGTATCTGACATGTCTGCTTATTTATAGAACTGACTGTGTGCAATTTCTACTCCCTGCTGGCAGGACTATGGTCACTGACTTATGAGCAGGAACTGACCACACCACTTCACATCACTGCTGGTCGAGGTTTCGCGGACTGCCTGAAACTCCTGCTGCAACGTGGGGCCAACGTAGACCTGGCCCCTGGTGGCACCACTGCCCTCCACGAGGCCTGTGAAAACTGCCAGCCAGAGTGTACCAAACTGCTGCTGATCCACGGCGCCAACGCCAATGCTGTCTCTGAAGATGGCCTTATGCCTTTGCACGTCTGTACAAGCCCAGAATCCCTTGAGTGAGTAAAACTAGAAAAGGTAGAACACTGACTCATCTAATTAATAATCCACTACTTGTGTCTTTCCACACAGAGTGTAACGAATTCATGTGAACTTTGCTGTGCTTGTTGTCAGAATAACCATTAGCTACCAGCTACAACAGGACAGCCCACACCAACAGGAGACAGTTGTAACACCTTAAAGGAAGTTTATGTGTGTAACTTGGGCATAAAAAAAAGAAGTCTCTATTGGCACAAGTGACAATTAAGGGAAAAATGTAAATGCTAAAACATTAGTTAGCGTAACAGTGAATTGACTCAAAAATGCCAATTATACAGCATTTTTTTCCTCAAACTTTGTAACATTAGCTAACTTTAGCTAACATTAGCCGCCATAAGCCACTGGTCATACCAGACAACATCTTACGATTGTATATCTGTAATACCCCTGAGTGTATTTAATTGAGCTAGAGTTCTTTTATTTTACTCTTGTATGGGGAAATTGCGCTATTTAAAGTCAGTGAACCACAACATCTGGCCAAAGTTAGCTAATATCAGCAGTCATAAGCTACTGGTCATTCAAAAGTTACATATATAGCCTCACTGTAAAACCACCTGCTGCTGTGGAGAGTGCATCTGGCAGGTGAGCAGAGATGAGTGATAAAAGTGCCGGATAAATGTATGAAATGTGGAGCCTCTGCCGTTCAAAGTAGTTATAACACTGAGCAAACATACCGACAAAAAAAGTTTGATTGTGTGGAATCGCCTCCAGTTTGAAATCATTTTTAATGAACACAACTTGTGCTCTGTAGCAAAACAAGCTTCTGTATTCCTGTCTGCAGATGTGCCAAATATCTCCTTCAGTATGGTGCAGCAATCAATGGTCGCACTAATGATGAAAATGACACTCCCTTACATGTGGCAGCCAGGAACGGCCTCTCAGACCACACCGAGCTCTACCTGCGCTATGGAGCTACTGTGGACAAACGGAACGACGAGGGTCTCTCACCCCTGAACGCTGCTTGTTCTCAGCCCCAGGAGGCGCAGGACCTCCAGCGTTACTTCAAGGTGTGCCAGATGCTGGTGGGGGCAGGTGCTGATGTCCACAGTACAGACCAGGACAAACACACTCCTTTGCACATGGCCTGTAAGAATGTAAATCCGGACATAGTGGACATGCTCCTGGCTAATGGTGCCTGTGTTAACAACATGGACTACGGTGGTGAAGCTCCCATGCACAACATCCTGAAGGTGGTGTGCTACAAGATTTCCCATAACCCTGAGAGGATTGTTCGTGCTCTGCTCAACCATGGTTCTATTCGGGTGTGGCCTGGAGCTCTGCCCATGGTAGGAAATGAAAAGCTACATGTTATCTAAAAGTGCTAGAGGAGAAAATGTGTGCACAAGCATGTAACATGGGCCAACGCATTCCAGATTGGTTTGTAGTAGTATATCATATTTACAGCATGAACCATCAAGGTGGCTCATTTTGCATAATTAGCAGGCACTGCACATGTAACACCTTGAGTAAAAGAGTCTTGAAACACTAAACCGTTCCTTGCAATATTCCAGACTTCACAACTTCACATTCAAATCATTCCCATTTCATGACACAACATGAAGTGTTGCACTCTCTGCGGGAAACAGACTACAACTATCAGTGAACCCACGTGCACTAGACAAAATGCATGGTTGCTAATTAGGCAAGTGTTAATAGGAGATTAATTAGCACTAATTGCATAATTTCCAGTTAAACCCCTGGAGGGAAGACCAATCTGTTCATTTCACAAGTGTTTAATTACTTTAGTTCTATGTTCAGTTCTATGGAGTCACAAGCTCGCTCGTGAACTTAAATGATGGTTATATGAATCCCTTTGCTTTGCTCTGTGTTGTGGTGTTTCTTTTAGGTTTTGAAGCACTGCTGTGAATCTCCACGCACCATCGAGGTCCTTCTGAATGCCTACAGTCACCTCAAAGTCACAGACACCTGGGTTGAGGCGGTGTCTGCAGAGATGTTTAAGGCAAGTGTTTTAAATTGTCAATTGATGGGTTTAACTAATGTGTCTCTTTTAAGATAAATATTTTTAGATTTTAGATGTAACAGTATTTCATTTTAAGTTGCACCCTCATCCTCTTCTTTAATTTCTTTATGATGTGATATGTTTCAGAATATAACCAAGAAATGCCAATAAAATCATTGCTGATTCCATTAATTTTAATGTTTTGTTTTACAGCTCATAACTCTGAGGTAACCCACCATTTAGCGTTTGAAATTCATTAAGTCTTTAAATAACAAATTAATTTACAGAAATATTATCATGATTACAGTATTTAAACCAGATGTTCAAAAAATAAAAAGTATTTTTCAGGATGTGCATAACACATATAGCTGTAGTGTGCATGTAGAAGAAGAACATTACCTTAATTGTATTAATATTCAAAAGGGGCTAATATAGATGAATTGTATAATGTATGTTTATTTAAGTGGTAGGCCTACTTATTCATTGTTAAAATACAATTTGTTTTACTGTAAAATGAGACAAATAATATCAGTGTTTTACTAAACGAACTTATGTTAATTTGTGTTTCTTCCCAATCAGGAGCACAAGGAGTTCTATGAGTCAGTCTTCTCCTTGACACTGACTCCTCGCTCCCTGCAGCACTTGGCACGCTGCAGACTCAGGAGCTTCCTGGAGGGCCGAGTACACAAGGTGGTCCCCAAACTTGATCTGCCCAACTTCATCAAGAACTACCTGCTCCTGGAGTACAGAGGCTATATCCACTGAGAGCAGGCTGTGCAGCCTCAGCGCTGAGACCTGATGAAGACTTCGCTGCTGCTAAACCTGAAGAGAATGATACTCAGAGCTATTCAGAAACTTTAGCAGTATGCATCAATACTCTGAATATTTTTTAAATACACTTTTATGCCATGTGTAAGCTCTTTGGGAGGAAGAAGCAGCTGCTTGTTTTCTGTCACTTTAATGTCAACATCAAGCTTTCAGCACAGTCCCATGTTTGATTTTGCACCACAAGAGGGAGCTATAGCCTTGAGTTGACAAAGTATATAGCAAGTATGCAACTGTGTGTTTTGTATTTTATTTATTTTGAGACTTATCCTATTTTTTTTTTACTTTTGCACTTGATAGTAAAGAGACTAACATGCTTGTATTTTTATACATAATAATTGTCATAGTTTGATGTTAATGGGCACTGTAATGATGTGTTTTACATTGAGGACTGCCATCAAATATTTGCATAAATAATCATTATTCCCACCGATATGATTGTAATTAGGCGTTTTATATCAAAAGTAGGCGTGATGTAAATTAAAATATTCCTCCACGGCCATGTAATCTAGACACTGTTCTTTTATTATTTCCTGCTGTTACATTTTCTCTCTTCTCTCATGCTTTGTGCTTCTAGTCTGCTGCTGGTCGATTTTCATCAATTACGTTTTTCTGGAAAAAAAAAAGAAAAGAAAATGAATGATGCAAAAATATATTTAAAAATACAATGAGCCGTTTAATGCAAACAATAAGGCAACTTAAAAGACTGAAATTAAAGACAAATTGAAGATGCCCTGAATCATGTTGAATAACTACGTTTTGGACGGACTGTAATGGGGGCTTTTATTATGAAATGGCAGGTGATCTTTTATCTGATAACGAGATGTAAAAAGTTCATAGAAACCTTTCGCACACACACCGATGTAACCTAAAAAAATAAACTAAATAATAGGTTAATAATTTAAAAAAAAGAGAAAAAGAAGTTACCCCTAGTCATTTACATTGGATGATAATCTGTTTATGGTTTTATGTATTTGGAAGGTATAAATGAAAATTATCTTCAGGCCTGATTTTATCAATTTACCTTATAAAGAAAAACAACTTTTGACAATTAAAATGTTTTTATTAGATCTATATCCAGACCAAAAAAAAAGTCAGAAAAATAGATCTAAATTATGAATCGTCTTTTAATTGTCAATTGCATTTGGCCATTAAAAACTGTGACTAAAATGTATCAAACAAAACAAACGTATACAGTTGAACACTGCAACATCAGAGATCCTCTCAGAAAGAAAGGCAGAGGAGCTCGGCAAATGGTTTCAATAGATCACAGAGAGGTGCTGCTGAAGTCACTTGCAATTATAAGAATTAGCCTGGCCTGGCCCTCCACTGCTAATCAGAGTCGGTGGTGATATGTTTATGTCCTCATGCAATCAGACGACCAGTTGGAGAGCCCGGGCACCCAGGACTCAATGGGGCTAATCATCATCAGTTGCCATTGCCATTTAAAAGGTGAAATGATCTGCGATTAAACCTCTGCTGAAAGAAAAAGAGAAAAGTGATTTTTTTTTTTTTATCATTATTCTCCACATTTTGATCAAGGATGAATTACTGCTCTTAAAGCGCAAAGCAAAACGTGTGTGTTATTTAATTGATAAAAAAAAAGATGCATGGATGGTTTAACTGACGTTAAAGTTTATGATTTCCAGCATTTAAAAAAAAAAAAATTCCCTCCCGAGTTCAAACAAAGTGGAAATCCACTCAAATTTGACTTTGGCCACTGTGTGTCCGTGTCCACACTGCAGTTGACCTCGCATAAACGCCTTTTATCTGAATCTAATTTCGCACAGAGTATCTCTCTCCAGGGAACAATTGTTGCAGCACTTCTTTTTTTTTTTTTTATTCTGGAGCCAAACGCATTGTTTTTAGCCGCGGAGAAAAGGACAGAGAGCGAGAGAAACATCTGCCTCTCCTCCCTCCTGACTCTGATGCCCATCGGCCCCAATATTTCAACAAAAGCCACCGTTGTTTTACGCTGTCCCTTGAATCCAGAGTAATTACTTATCATCAATCAAAATTAATAATAGCTGATTGGGTTGGTGTGGTCAACGATTATAGAAGGGGAAGGGCTGGAACAGTCTCTCACACCGTTTTGCAGTCAATGGTGAACCTGGCAAAAGGGGAGGAGGTGTTTAGGCGAGGGGGGGGGGGGGTGCGACCCGTCTATTTGGTCTCCACTGGGAAACTACCGCCTCTCAAGACGGCCAAAAAGTCAGAGGCTGAATAAGGAAATGAAGCGTAATTTGAGGAAGATGGATGAGCCCCCAGGGAAACACCCCCTTTTCATTCCTCTTGTATTGCAGATGATAACCAATGCGCTCTCGTCCTCTCTCTCTCTCTCTCTCTCTCTCTCTGCGCGCGCACACACACATGCGGCTCACAGGAGAGGGGCGGAGGGAGGAGTTGCAGAGAGAGGAGGAGGTTGGGGGGGTGGGGTGGGGGGGGAAGCAGAGGTAGATAGATAGAGAGAGCGTGTGTTTATGTCTCAGTGTGTGACAAATAAGAGGGAAAAGGTAGCGGTGGGGCTCCCAACAAAGCGCCCCACTGACTGACGCATATAGAGTGCAGAGATCCGGAGAAGCAGTCCACTCCCAGGGATGACAACACGGCAGAGGATCTACTTTCAACCCACTCTGCCTTTAAACTGAAAGTTTTTGCGCGTCGCCGAAGGGAAGGACACCTGCTCTCAAGTCTCCACCGAGTGAAAGCGATAACCTGCAACATGCAGAGACCCGGCGGCCAAGGGACGGCGTTTTCTATCGATTCCCTGATAGGGACCCCTCAGCCCAGACCGGGACACCTGCTCTACACGGGCTATCCTATGTTCATGCCGTACAGACCTTTGGTTATTCCACAAGCTTTATCCCACTCGCCTTTATCGTCTGGTATACCTCCACTTGCGCCTTTGGCTTCTTTTGCGGGACGGCTAACCAACACCTTCTGTGCCAGTTTGGGACAAGGGGTGCCATCCATGGTCGCGCTCACCACGACGATGCCAAGTTTCTCGGATCCACCGGACAGTTTCTACCCGCCACAAGAACTCCCCGGTCCCCGTTTAAGCGCCGCCGATCCCGGAGCGAGGAGACAGGAGAGTCCTCACTCCGAGGAGCTGCACAGCCGGGACAAGGGCTCCGAGCTGCTCAACTTCTCGGAAACTTTTCAAACAATATCAGGTAAGCTCGGAGCCTCGTCGCTTATTTAGCTTTTTTTTCTTTTTTCTTTTTTTTTATCGGTTTTTCATAGATCAAGGTGACTGCGACCAAAAGTGAGAAGTATGCGTAAAAAGCTTCAAAGCAGAGATCCTTGGATCATGTCGAAAATCGTTGGTGTCTGAGGAGCAGAGGAATCAGTGAGGATGATGAAACGGAAACTCGTCTAACATTAGTTTTGCCTGACAGAAATATTAATGACACAGCATTCACCATCCTGGGGCTGCTGAAGTTATAATTCTTTAAAAAAAAAAAAAAAATACAGTTGAGGCTGTTTCCAGTTGTTGATCATATTTTTTTTTAAATTAGAACAAACTGCATATTTAACAACATTTTAGGAAAACTTGTGGGAAATGGTTTTGTCGAGAGATGAACTAAGTTGCACTTTACAAAGTAGCCAAAAACGTGGCCAGTGGCCACCACTGAAAACTTTCAGAAAAATTCCACGTTTACACACAGGACAAGCCGTTATGGTCCAGTGTAACTGCAGCTAATGTTGCTGCTTATATCACTTAACACTTGAAGGGGTTTTCAGTGAGGCTATGTTGCCTATTATCTCTAACTAGCCCAGTCATAACACTGTGATTGACGTCGAACGTAAAACAGTGCGTAAAAGTTGTTTTTGGTTTGCAGGCTCATTGATGTGAATGTGTCTTTTTTTTTTCTCTCTCTCTCTCTCTCTCTCTCTCTCTCTCTCTCCACATTTTAGGTGAGACCAAACTGTACAGTTCAGACGACGAGAAGCTGGACCTAAAGTCAGCAGACACGGTGTGCAGCGACCGAGAGGACAGCTCCGCAGACAGCGAGAACGAAAGTTTCTCGGACGGGAACAACTGTGGCTCCATGTCCCAGAAGAGCAAACTAAAAACCGGCTCTCAGGAGGCGCTGCCGACCGGCGGCTCAGCGGGGAAGAGCCGCAGGAGACGAACAGCTTTTACCAGCGAGCAGCTGCTCGAACTTGAAAAGGAGTTTCACTGTAAAAAGTACCTTTCTCTGACTGAACGCTCCCAGATTGCACATGCACTTAAACTGAGCGAGGTGCAGGTGAAGATCTGGTTTCAGAACCGCAGGGCCAAATGGAAACGGATCAAAGCCGGCAACGTCAACAACCGGTCAGGAGAACCGGTGCGAAATCCCAAAATTGTGGTCCCCATCCCTGTGCACGTCAACAGGTTTGCTGTGAGGAGTCAGCATCAACAAATAGAGCAAGGGACCAGGCCATGAACTCAGATGAAAAAACAAAAATATTAATAATAATAAAAAAAAAACCCGAACACTTACATTGACTCTATGTTCCACTGATTTGTTGAACGCATGAAGCACAAAAGGGAGGATTCAGTAACTTTGTCTGAGAGGTGAGACCGAGCAGAGGAGAGGATTTGCTCGCAGACAGACGAATTAGTTGGCAATATGCTGTCATTTTTATTTATTGTTCTGTGAATATGTAAATATAAATGGGTAAAAATTGGTACAAATGGGCACTATGAGATGAGACTGTAAAGATTTTTTTAAGTATTTATATGTAGGGCCAAAATGTTCTGTTGGTTATGTGCATGTCCTCATTTGGTGAAACTATTCAGATTTTGCTTTCTTTGTTTGTTTCGTGTTTCGTACAATTTGTTGAGCACATTTGCATGTAACTTAAGACGTTTTTACATTTTGTTTGGCGACTGTAGGAACCACCTCTGACAGCTATTTGTGAAAAAAAATAAGAAAAGATGTGAAGGAAATAATGACCAAACAAGGGACAACTGTAAAGTATATTGACCTAATAAATCGCTTTATACGAAAGTTGGAATCCAGATTGAATCATTATTACAGAGGGGATAGAACAACAATGTTTGTTTTTTTTTGTATTTGTGAAAAATAGGAATTATTTTATCCTGTTAAAATGAAAAATGTGGCCTGCACTGTTTGAACATAGCGACTCATTTGGAACTGATGGGAGACTCATTTGGAACTGATGGGAGACTATAACAGCACAAACTGATTTGATATTATTTAATATTCTTTAACACGTTTTAAATAAAAAATTACCACATTTTTATCATCCTGAAGATATTATTTTAAATTTTATATTGAAAACGTTCCTGATAAATTTCTAATCTAGGCTATATGAGAAAGTGTGATACTTTAATCTTTAATATTCAAAGAGATTCAGCGTGTTTGTCACTGTTGCAACATCATGTTAGAAATGTTGTTTTTTTCCCTCCTGAAAGGTAGATGGGTCTTCCGTTTTTTTTCTAAATAGCAGCA